CGTGTTCTTGGCCCAGGCCAGGACACTCAGATTCAATTCCTGGAGAGACAGGAATTATTAGGCAGGGTGGGTGAAGGCACTCCTAGCAAGGTGGTTAGCCTAAAGATGGCAGTGTCCACCATTTCCACAAGATGGGGAAGGCCAACCTGAGAACGGACACAAGGTGGGGGAAAAGAACTGATAGATAAAATCCATCATTCTTAACAATGTTATTACTGTCAGTCAGAGAGCACTTACACAAGTCTTAGGTACTCCACATGAAGCATCTCATTTAATGAAGGAGGTATTAATAATCCTAAGTAGGAGAAAACCGAGGCCACAGAAGTGACTGAACTTCTCCTAACCCCCTACTTAGCAAATGGCAGAGCGGGAACCCAGACTTCAGTGTCCCTGAGGCCTTATTCTCCAGGCTGCGCCATCTCCCAGTTCAATGGACTTCTCCTATGGGAAAGAGAAGACCACTACTGCTGTCAGGTAAATAAAAAGGACATCTATTCCATTAATGGAACTTTTGTGCCAAAATGTGTTTTCTATGATATCCTGGGTCAGTTCTGGAAGCAATCTGAACTCCTTGGAAGAGAGTTCATATTTATGGTAGTTATGACAGCAATTGCTGTAATAAGAATGAGCTGTTTTATCTCATAATTATTTGATAATTGTCATTTTAGGGGTGGCGTGGCTATTGTCATCCCCAAATAAAGATAATTCTGAAATGCTTTAGGTGATTTGGAAAACATCTCATCTTCATTTTTCCTCTATGGCAAGTGTGATGCTATTACCCATGATCACTTAATGATTCAGTGTAGCACAGAGAAAGCCCTCTCAAGCCTGTCTATACTTCCAGAGCCAAACTCCAAGCAGAAGTGATTAAAGCAAGTTTCTTTTAATTAGACTTGTTGAATAATCCTAAACAGCCTTTTAGTTTCTATGTACTTTGAAGCAAATGGGTTCCAGGAATGGGTCTAATAGGTATTTCTCTGAAGGACAACTTTTCTGCTGGCATCAGGAAGCAGCTCAGAGTCAGAACACAGGCCATGTGGGCAGAGACCAAGAGATTTCCATCAACAGCCATGGCACTGGGCAATTTACAAGATCTCATCCTTTCTCGGAAAAATATACCCAAGCTTAAAGAACTTGAGGGGTCCTTTGCCAAGTCCAGTTGGAGAAATACACAGGCAGAACTATGGCCAAGGGAGCTTTGAGTATCTGCCACTCATCTGCTCAAGTGGACTAGACGTCCAGGGCTCACTGCTCCAACCCAGAAAACAAGGCCAATAGGCAGAGGCAATAGTGTCTGCTGATTTAGGAGAGCATGGTCTTTGGAGACAAACAGCTCACATTTAAATCCTGGCTTTTGCTCTTTCTAGCTGTGTGACCTTGGCCAAATTACTTAATCTTTCTGTGCCATAGATTTCCCATCTGTTGATGATAATGAACAGCTTCCTTCAGAAAGCAGTTATGAGGATTAAATAGCTTAAGTCTGAATAGTGCTTATCACACTGCTAGGGCTTGAATGGGAAAGATGTGTCTTTTTGCTCCCAAAGGAAAAGAGAGGAAGTTTCATTTACTTTACTTAACAGACATATTAATTAGGATTCATACACAATAATGGGAAATGCTTTTATAAAGATAATAATCTTTGACATTTGGTTACCACGGCTTTGCTAATAAAGCTTCCAAATAGAAGACCCCTCTTTTTAAGGAATAGATAAGAAAGGACATGGTCTATTCATCTTATAGTAATGCTATGAGCAACTAAGACTTCCAGTGAGCTATAAAACATTGTGCATCATATGTCACATACAGGGGCAATATTCTCATCCCAACTCCTTTTCCTTGTCTGTCATAGTAGTCAATTTTTGTTTGTTTGTTTGTTTCTACTGGCAGGAACAAACCCTGTCCAGTCCTCTGAATGGGTACTATCTCCCCTTTAGTGCTGGGTACCACGTACACATTTAAAGTCCCTTAGAAGCCTGACTTGAGTAACAATTGGTCCCTCGTAACTCTCCCATTGGCAAAGCATTAAGTCCATATCTAGGAGGAACTGGGAAGAGCTCATTCATTTATTTGTTTTCTGAGACCTTTCTCTGTAGATTAAGCACCAAGAAAAGGAAGAGAATGTTAAAAAAAAAAAAAACCTGACATTATAAGTTTTAGGCAAAATTACACAGAGATCAAATGGTGTCCTGAATAGAGAGGGTGGGATGCTAACCAGAGGAGGGAACCTGTGGAAGCAGCACAGCTGAATTTCTGGGCCTGGGAGGGGTCAGGTCTCAGGTCTTCCCTATCAAGAGGAGCAGCAGGAGAGAGGTGAGTAGCTTCTTTGCAGCAAAGGTTTCTTTAGGTAGAAGAATCTCACTATGAGACGTGTTTTATGGTTTAAATGTGAAGTGTGCTCCCAAACCAAAAACTCATGTGTGAGACAATGCAACAAAGTTTAGAGGTGAGTTAGCTTCCACATATCAGTGAAAACATTTGACCTTGGGTTTTTGGGGATTGTCTTATTTCATTTAACATGATAGTTTAAAGTCATTCTTCTTTATGGCTGAGTAATAGTCCCTTAAGATGACTGGGTTATGAGAGCTTTAACCTAATCAGTACATTAATTTTCTGACAGGGATTAACTAAATAGAACTCCAGGCAGGTGCGGTGGGCTGGAGGAAGAAAGTCCTTAGGTACAATGCTTTGGGGTACATATTTGTCTATGGTGAGGGGAGTCTGGGTCTCTCTGCTTTCTGGGTGCTATGTCCTGAGCCATGTTCCTCCACCATGCTCTTCCACCATGATGTTCTGCCTCGTCTCGGGCCCCAAAGAATGGAATGGGGCCATCTATGGAGAGAGACCTCTGAAACAGTGAACCCCCAAATAAACCTATCCTCCTCTAATTGTTCTTTTCAGGTCTTTTGGTCACAGAAGCTAAAAGGCTGAATGCAGCCACAGGGGAGGAAATGGTATCAGTCCATTCAGACGTCCCTCTGTGTGATCTCTGAGGCAGTTTATTTGCAAAAGGCTTGTCTTTCACTTTTCCGGGCAGTTTCATTTGCTTTTTAAGAGATTTCTCTAATGCAGTTCTCTGGCTTTCAACTCCCACAGGAATGTTAGGGCAGTGTTTGGAAATGAGAAAGATAAAAATGCATTCCTCTTAGAAGTTCGTCTAGAAGGAGGGGAACTGGCATGGAGGTGGGAGCTGTTAAGTGCCTCAGTGAGGCCATCTCCATGTTTTGTCCTGGGAGGCAGCGTGGCCCCAGGAGAGGGCAGGGAGGTCCTTCCATGCCCTGGTTGCAGGGAGCTCATTCTCCTTAAAGGTCACTGTCAGATGATTCTGGACAATGTGAGCAGGAGGCCAGGGGATATTACACTGGTCTGAGCAGGTCACTTGTAGCACTGTTTACAGCAGCAAAGGCCTGGAAACACCGCAGATGATTTTTCCACAGTCAGATTAGCTGAGCTGGGGCCCAGGGAAGCACATATTTTGGCAGAAGTGTGAATGTAAATTTGAAAGGTATTGATAAGTTAATATTAAAATTACAATAAAATGTTCCAAACTTTGCTTTTACTTTGCTAGGATCCAGGCCCTTGGAAACACAAAAGCCAATATTAACTTACGTTATTTCCCTTCTTTTCGAGTTCAAGTTCAGCCACCCATTCCCACAGAGGTCACTGCTAATTTAACTAAGGAAGGTTTAAAAACAAACAAAAAACAAGCAAAAAGAACACTGTTTTCTTTGCTTTCTTTATTTCTCGTGCCGTTCTTTCCCCGCCTCTCCTCCCTGCTCCCATATCTCTTGTTTTCCGTATATACATCCCACCAACATATGTAGCGTATTTTCTTTTTTAATTTTTCATGGTGTGAGGTTTGAACCTAGTGATGCTCTACCACTGTGCTACATCCCCAGCCCTTTATTACTTCATATTTTGAGACAGTCTCACTAAATTGTCCAGCTGGACTCAAACTTGCCATCCTCCTGCTTCGGCTTCCCAAATCACTGGTATTCAGGCATGTTCTACTGTGCCCAAATATGTATATTTCTTCAATATTATTATGATTTATCTCCCATCTATATTCTTAAAATAAAATGATATGTAACTATTTTAAACACATATAGATAACAATGTACTCTAACAAGCAAGGCACAGATAGATCATTGTGAATAAGTAGCATTTATGTGAATGCAAATACCTGTATTTGTGTAGGTTATGGGCTGAATATTTGCATCATCCCAAATTCACATGCTAAAGCCTTTATTTCTATTGTTGTAATAATACTTGGATGTGGGGCATTTGGTGATCATTAGAGTTAGGTACGGTCATGTAAGTGAGGTCTAAATGATGAAATTATTGTCCACAGGTGAACAACAAGAGGGAGAAGAGCTCTCCCGCATTCCACCATGTGAGGACACAGCCAAAAGGTAGCCATTTAGGAGCCAGGAGGAGGACCTCGCCAGGAACCAAACCTGCAGGCACCTCGATCTTGAGCTTTCTGGGCTCCAGGACTGTTTAAATCTCCAGTCTGTGGCATTTGGTTAGAGCAGCCTGAGCAAAGTAAGACCATCTAAGTATACATGCTTGGTAATTCAAAGACTATTTCTGGAAGGCTAAACAAGAAACTAGGATGACTGACTGTGTCCCAGACTGCAGGAAGTTCCAAAGGACCTGAAATGAGGAATGAAAAGATCTACATTCACACTAAGTAAGACCTACTTATTGGAGTATGCCATTATATGTATAAAATGCTTTTTAGTAATAAAAATCACTATTTCTTTCAAAATATCTTTCTCATAGACTCATCAAAACATAACACAGCATCACACACAAAGTCCCCGCAGCTTTCTAATTTCGATGATCCATTTTGGGCTTACTAAGAAATTTGTGACACAACTTTTAACATTCCCCGACAATGTTGACTGCCCCAGTGTCACACCTGCTCTCGGAAGGCGGGGATTCCAATGCTCATTTACTACACAGTATCTTAATGTGCCAGAGGGTAAGGTGAGACTTACCAGTAGAACCGATTTGGTACCACCCCTTCTTGGATAAGCTGCCATCTTCTTCCAAACTCGGCAGAGCTGTATAACTGTAAAAAAAAAAAAAAAAAAAAAAAAAAAGGAGATCATGAGCCCTAGGGTACACCAAATGCACAAGCATCAGTTTTCACTTTTAAATCACTAATAATAATACCTGCCATTCATTGAGCACCTGCTACATGCCAACCAAGTGTTCCAATAACTCATCTCTATTCTTCACATAAATTCTACAAGATAGATATTAACAAATACCTTTTAGAGTTGAGAAAACCGGGGCTCAGAAGGGTTAGTTGACTTGTTAGAAATCACATGCCAGAAAGGATTGGAATCCATACCATGTTCTGCCTGGAGACAAAGACTGTGGTCCCACTTGACTTGGCATCTACAACACTGTGGAGACTGGAGGGTGGAATATGTAGACTTAGCTCAGTGTAACCTGTACCTGACTAAAATGATAGAACGGCAAGGCCCGTCCCCGAGGATAAAGGAAGGGCCAGGAGTCGGCAAGGGATGCTTCATGGACTTAGTGGAGAACTAGTTGGGACATGAATGGCAGGATTCAAACTAACAAAAACAGCATTACTCACAGGGGAGCTGCATGGGTCAAAGTGGTGAGGTGGACAGGGACCCTCGATGAACAAGCCTGGTTTATGTAAATGAGTGCAGATGAGCATGTTGAGGGCAACGTGGAAGAAGCTCTGAACGTCACATTAGGGAGACCAGACTTGATCCTGCAGGAAGGAGGAGCCAATGCTGGTCTTTATGAGTCACCTAAGGAACCTCAGGTTATAAAACAGCACTCCACATTGACTAAGCTCTTACCAGAACCAAGTGCTTAGCATGCATTATGTGTTAATGCATCGCTCTGATAAATGAAATTATTTTGACTGTTTTACAGATGGCTCCACAGCTGGTGAGATTTAAAATCCACTTGCCACACTGCTTTAGTACTCACCCAGGGCAACTGCACAGAGTCCCTACTCACAGGATGGGGACTGGCCCTCATATACTTCATCTCTCAGAATGTCTTTTTCCTTTTTTTATGGCTTATTCCTCATTGCTCCTTGACATTCCTGCTCTGGTAGTCTTTATGTCATACTGTGATTTTTTTTCTGCCCTGAAAAGCATCCTCTGATGGCAGCCCAGAGCATCCCCCTTGCTCTTTGTACCCCAGTTCCCATGGGCACTTTGTTACTGATTTGGAAAAGGTCATTCAGAGCATCTCTTTTCTGCTGTGTTCCTGGTCTGTAATGCACCTGCCCCTCAATATTCCACCACGGTATCTGCCGGCTTCCACAGAGTGACTGGTGAGTCACACTGCACTGAGCACCGTGACCGCCCAGCTTGCTTATCTCTGCCCAGCCACGACACTCAGGGGAGGGTCAAATGACTCACCAAATGACTCACCACGGCTGTAGATGCACCAGGCGTGACCGAGGAATGATGCATCTCAAGAGAATATTTATTGAGCCTTTAAGGAACCTGCTATGACATTGTGTCCATTTGATCAGAACACATCCTGACTCCACAGAGGATGCTTCTAAGATGAGCAGCTCCATCAGATACAGCTGGAGAGTGTTTGAGCATCCAGCCAAGGAGAATCTGTGGCTTTTTATTTCAATGTACATTATTTTTTCTTTGCTTATCATTAGATTTAGGATCTTGAATGTTTCCCCAAATCACATGTGTCAAAGGATTGATCCCAGAGGGACCCTACTGAGAAGCACTGGAACCTATGAGCCGTGAGGCCTCCTGGAAGTTGCTTAGGTCATTGGAAGCATCCCCTTGTTTTAGTCAGCATTTTTGCTGCTGTGACCAAAAGACCTCACAAGAAACATTTTAGAGGAGGAAAAGTTTATTTGGGGGTTCATGGTTTCAGAGGTCTCAGTTCACAGATGGCCGGCTCCATTGCTCTGGGCAGGAGACAAGGAAGAACATCATGGCGGAAGGGTATGGCTGAGGAAAGCAGCTCAGGACATGGAACCAGCGAGACCAACGAGACAGCTTCACACTCCAGCTCCAAATTTCCCTTTTACCTGTTCTATTTGTTTTTTTTGTTGTTGTTGTTGTTTTTGACCTAGAGCTACCCTTCTTCATATGAGCTTAGGGTGAAGAGAGTTCACACCACTGTAGTATGCCTATGTCTATATGCAAAACCATGTAAATATCTATGTTTACATGCAATACAAACGTAACAGAGTCAAGATGGTCCAAAATAATAATTCTGTGTATGAAGCCTAGACTCACGTAGATCCTGTAAGAATCATATATAAACTCTAAGGGCTCATATGGTTACTCCCAGGAATTGCCATCCCTGTTCCCACAGATAATTCATCTCTGTGAAGGATCATTGGGTGCCAGCATCTGTGTTTTTTTATTTTTTTCCCTGTCTTTGTAAATTTATCACCTAGGCCTATGGACCAGTCAGGTATGTCCCATGATATTTGTTCATATCTTCAAAAGGCTGCTTTGTTATTTGTGAGCATCTAGAGGTCCCTGGAGCAGTGGGTATACAAAACAATTCAATAAACCAAGCCTCTCTCATTCAGCTCAGTGACATCCATTCCAATTCTACCTCTGGAAAGGTACCCTTTGGTCTTAGTGGGTGGGCTTTCTCATCCTCCCACTCCCACCTAGGCACATTCCCCTCCTCTGCCTTTACCCAGGCCGACCACCCTGCCACAGGTTCCTTCAAGACTTGTCTGCCTTGATGCCAGGTTTTCTTTCAGGCCACATCAAAGGCTGCCTTCTTTATAAACCTTCTCCTACCCATGAAGATTCCTACTGGCCTCATCTCCAAAGACCTGTGATACAACAACAGATACTACTGAACTACAGATCCCACATTTATATTTAGTTCTTAGTTGTCTTTAAAGAGAGCCTTCTAATAATGTAAGGTAGGAACTTCTTCCTATATAAAATCATGCTAAAATATCCAAGAATACTCCTGCTTTTTTAATGATTGCAATGTTTTTAGATGTCATGAATCCCATTCTTCTGTATGTATAGATGCCCAGAGCACAGTAGATAATAGAAAGGAAAGGGGTTGGTTCTGCACCAAGCTAAGCCCCCCGTCATAAATCTACATAGTAAGGAACTCAGGTTTTTCAGCAGATGGATAATGGAATTAGAGGAATATGCTTTGCTTCCAAGGATACATGGCTATAGTCTAATATCTTAAAATTAAGTCTATAAATATCAGTGCATTTGAAACTCCTAAAGATTTGCAAGTAGAGTCTTGCACATTCACCCTAAGACAACATGGCTCTGTGTACCCCACCTACGACTTCAAACATTTTCTCCCTAAGAAATTAATTGTCCAGCCTGGTGTTATACTAAAACCAACTCTCAGCCATTCAAGTTAATGTGTTAATTAAACCTACAGAGTCTGACAGCAAAGTTCTCCTCCGCAAAGAAGGGAAAGGTATGAAAGCACTTTCCCCACTGATTCCATCTCAGCTGCCAGTGGAAGGCTTTTCGTGTAGAACAAGTCAATATCCTTTAATAAAATTCATAGTGTTGGCAGCACCTAAATAAGATTTATTTCCCTCCCTGTCTGTGTCTAGCTCCAAGGTTTCTTTTGACTGTCAGAAGACAGAATGGAGAACTATCATTACTATCTGTCACATCAGAGAAAGCAGCAGCAGCTTTCTCCAGCATTGCCAAGAGAAACACAGAGAGAGAGAGAGAGAGATTAGGAAGAGAAAGAAAGAAAACTTGAGCAAGCTTTAAGAGGGTAATGTGCATCTACTAATGCTTTGTCATGCATCCCAAAATGCCATTTGCAGAAGGTATTTGTTCTAATTCTGCAAACGCTGGTACAAACTATGGGAAAAGAATAGAAGAAGCAGAAATTTTGAAAGGGGAATAGAGAAGGATTCTGGTTAACTAAGAATAAAAGGCAGAAAATCCTTCTTGTCTAAAATCATTCTACGATATCTGAGACCACTTCCTTGTCTTTGTAAATATAACTTAATGAGCACAAACCAACATTCATCTACGTTCAAGACCTATTAGCAGTCCCAGGGCCTAAACCTCCACACTGTCATTGTGCTGGTCTGGGGCTGTCAACACTTCTCCTTTCTGTCACATTTTTCTCCTGAGATTTAAAAAAAAAAAAAAAAAATCTCACGTTGACTTGTTTTCTCACCATCTGCCTTTGTGTGCTATAAGAAGAGTGCAGATAAAAATAGACTTAATTGTAAAGGATGCAACTTCAAGGGTTAGTTTTGATGTGAGTTTATAACCAACTCTCAGGCATCTGTGGCGCCCTCTTCAGGTGGCCTGTGAAGCTACAATTTGGATGCTAGGCAAGGTCAAGAGATTAAATAGAGGAGTTTCAAAAGGGGGCTAAAGAGCTTGAATGAGAGAATGAATGAGATGCAGTGTCTTTGGCTACAGCAGATTAATATGGGGTGAGAGAAGGGGGTATTAAAGCAGTTTCCTCTCAGTTCCCCCCAATCTTATTATTCACATATTGGTTAAAACCCTAGAAGAATGGCATCTTTTTCCTAGTAGAAAGGAAATTCAATATACTGTATTGATGCAAATGTTTGTAATTGTCACTGTCCCTGGAAGGTCTTTTTCAACACTCCTTAATTGAATCAGGGTATCTTCTCTTTTCAGATTGTTAGATACACAATATAAATTTTCTTTTGCAGCTACAAAATTGTTGCAAAGACATCAATTCCATAGGAATTGGTCCAAGGCAAATTGCACTGAAGCTAGGAGTCCTGATAATATGTTTGAAGTCTCTGGTTGACAGAACGGGATGCTATTCACCACAAAGCTTCCTGTGGCAACTTCCCTAGTCAGGGGCAGTTTCCTGGGAATCTGCCACACAACTCATGGAGAGACTTCTTTTGGTGGAACCCTTTCTGCTGTTGGCTCTTTTTGAGGTTGCCTGCTCACTCCTCTTTCCTTCTCTGCCCTTAACATTTGGTAGGCAGGGGGCCTGCGAATTGCATTTCTCAAAAAGGCTAACAGAAAACCTTGCCAGTTCTATTTATTTGCCTCATCTTAATTCTGCCCCAGGGATGGCCTCAGAACA